AAAATTATTTTTTATTAATATTCAATAATTAAAAAAAAATCAATTAAAAAAAAAGTTTTATGGTATAATATATGAAAAATAACATAACAAAATAAATAGGATGAAATTATAAAGAAAGATACTAGTATTTTTTAGTATTATAGATATAGTATTTTTTATAAGCTTTATATGCAAGTAAAATAATTATGCCATTAGAAGTTGATTTGTATTTAATAATTATTTTTAATAAATTACAAAGCTGAATATTTTTTAGTAAAATAATTTTAGTAAAATAATAAATTTTTTTATGAAATGATAATTATGTATTGTTTTTTTTATAATTCTTCATCTTTTGAAAATTAGAAAACAAAAGCATAATTATTCAATTTTAAAATATTATTATAATTTTTCTTGTAATCAAGCAACTTGTAATCAAGAATAATATTGTAGCATTATAACATTATTAATTACAAAATTTAAAAAAATAGAAGCTATTTTATATATATATATATATGAATATACAGTAGTAGTACCATTAGATTATTATATTATATGATATATAAAATTTAAATATATGATATAAAAAATACAAAATAAAAAATTCAAATCTTTGATTTTGATTCCTAGAAGTTATGTTTTACACAAAAAATCAAGTATTTAATATAAATACAGAAAATATTTATTCTATTGTCCATACTACTTTATTCAAAAATACATATATTTGCATTGAACAATATAATCATTTCATTACACAATTCATTTATATAATTGATTTATCATAATAACATATTGTTAAAAATAAAAAATAAATATTTTATAAAATTGCGAAAATTTAAAACTAGTAACTTTTAATAATTTATTTGATTAGGGAGATATGAGTCCAGATGCTGTTGTTGAATTTATTCTCACTATAGTTTGTATCTAAAGTAAGTTTTGCTGTGCCATGATCTGTTTGTAAAGTTAGCTTTGGATCGTGAATAGATATAATATATTGTCAAAAAATATATATAATGTGATACAGTTGGTAATCATTAATATTAAGAAGATATTATAGCTGAAAATGATATGATACGTATATAATCGCAAATTAATTAAAAAAAATTATAAAACGTATATATCTTAAAAAATAAATGTGATCTTTTATCTATATACAGAATGCAGATAGTGCATTTTTTTTGGAGTCTTATTTGGTATATTTTGTCTACTTATCAAGGTAATTTGATTATATACATTTCATATAACGATTATTCAATTTGTAATTGCATCTATTATTATTATGTTAATTTTTGATAAACTTAAAATATATTATTATATTTTATATTACAGTCAATGCTGTAGAATATAATATAACATTAACTCACGATGGTCCTGTAGTGTTAGGTGGGACTATTACATTTAAAGCCGATATCTTTGAGAATAATGATAGACCATCAGGAACATTTAAATATAAATGGAGTGACAATGCATTAAATCCTCATATATATGAGGTTAGTTTCTTTTTTCCTGTAGTTTATATTTTATTAAAATTATATAGTTTTTATTTTATTATAATTATTTTCTAATAAAAGCTTCTTTTATACGAAAAAAAAATTTTTTTTGAAAGTTATGTATTTTAAAGAAATGTATTTCTTTATAATGTACAATATTAATATAATTGAGTTAGTTTAATGAACAAGAAATTTTTTATTTATAGTTTTAATAATAAATAATCAAATTTGTTATAATATTTATTTTTTTGTTCATATTTATTATAATATTTTTTTTATTAAAATCTCATTATTATTGTAATATATTTTTTATATTTTAATATTATATTTAACATATGATTTATAAAGAAATATATAATTTAAATATGAAACAGATTAAATAATAATTTTAATTTTTTCAGACAGGAGAAACATCAAATACAACAACATATTGGAGTTTAAATATTCTACATGAAAATTATACAGTTGGAATATATGAAGTTGAAGTAATAGTTAGTAAATTTGTTATTTTATGGTGGGAAAAACTTACCAGTGTTCGTACTAAATTTTATGTCACTCGTAAGAATTTTTAAAATCATTTTATATTTATTATATTATATTTTATATTTATATTTTTTATTTATTATATGTTTTTTCAACTTAATATTTACCAATTTCATAGAATTCCTTAATGGAGATATCAAAATTATACAATCTAATAAAACATCAATAGATACGTATGTTTCTTCAACATCTGAAGCAAATGTAACAATAAATATAAGAAAAGGTGATATGGATTATTTGATGAAAGCCACAACAATATCAATTTATTGGTTCATAGATTGCAAACATTTTGGTCAAACAAATGATTTAAGTTTTCTCTATAATTTTACAAATCCTGATGTATCGCATATGTTAGAAGCTTTAGTAATTGCTTCATATGATTCGTTAATAACAACTGTTTTACCATCTACAACTATTTCACCAATAACAACAACTATTCCTTTTAATAAAACTGTGCAAAATAATACAATATCAAATATTACAAAAGAAGAAATAGCAAGTGCTGTCATATCTAATAATTTAACTATAAAATTAATATCTATGGTAACAGAAATGCCTCTAAATGATACAGCAAGTAATATCTCTGATATAAATAATATTTCTTTACCATATATTTGTTCCAATTCTTCAATAATTCCTTCAGATCCTAATAAAACATATGGACATTTTACAAAAAAGATTGATGTTCGTGGTAAATAATATTATATATAAAATAACAATGTTCAATATAAATTATAATAATATATAATATAATTATAATAATTATAATAATAATATATTAATATAAAAATTATAGCACCTATAAGGAATATAACAGTAGAGGGTACCAATTGGATTCAACCTTGGGATATGTTATCTCTTAATGTAACATGCAAAGGTTCAGGACCTTTTAATAAGTGCCTTCAATTTCAAAGAGGGAAGTATAATGTTACTGGAAATGAAACATGCAACAATATAGATAATCTTTATTCTTGTAATTTTTCCATCATTCATTATTTTTTGGAACCAAGTATATACACAATATTAATTATATTAAATAATGATGTCAGCAAACAAATTTATCCTTGACAATAAATATTATAAAGGTATATGTTATTATTTTAATAATAATAATAATAATAATAATAATAATAATAATAATAATAATATAAATTTTATCTTATAAGACAATTTATATTAATTTTTTAATTGCATTTTTAAATATTTTATAGTAACAACA